ATCTTGCATTTCTGATGGAGCACAAGCTAGCCTCCTTTCCCAGTGAGGGAATCTCACCTCTCCAGCCCTCCTCTTGGGTCCGGACAATGTCGGCCTGGATTCACCCCTCCCCGCCACCTCTTGACTGAGCATCTGCTGTTGGGCTGAGCAGCCCTGGTGGTGCTGAGGGGTAAGCACTGGGCCTCCAAACAGAAGTGGGTCCAAGCCCTGGCCCCAAAGTCTATTTTTGGTATTCCCCGGGGTCTTCATTGCTCTGTTCCCCTTGCTGTTCTGTTGCACGCCCTTAGTGTTCTGCTTCCGTGTGGTGGGGTCAGATCGGGCGCAATTCCCTCACTGTGTCTCCATTGTTGTCCCACAGGACCCATAGGGCTATGGGTCAGTGAGGGATGTCGTGTCTCATCGTGGGGTCAGCCCTGTGGTCTTCTCTGTGGGTTGGCTGCTCTGAGTGGGAACATCGTCCTCAAGGCTTGGTGAGCCAGGATGTGCTCCACTCTCTCTTCCTCCCCCTTCATTTGCTCCCACGTGCTCTGGTCAGACAGGTCCCTCTCCCTGAGCTGCAGCTTCAGTGTTGTCCTTGTTGGTGGTTTCCACCCACCCGCTGCTCCCGTACCGATTCACAGCCCCAGAAACCTTTTGGAGCCCGGTCCTGCAGGTGTCCGGGAGTCAGCTGGTCTACAGCAGCCTCAGCCACAGGATCCTTACTACAGGAGCAGACTGCCAGGCCTCTCCCCTCGCAGTCCGAGGGGAGGGGAGGGGAAGGGAGGTTTCCATCCACTGACCTCTTGGTTCTCACTCGTTGTTCTTGCTGTACGAGCCGTCCAGTCGGTTCCAACCCTGATGGACCACAGCGTGAAACACCACCCGGTCCTCTGGCCTGTGGGGGTCCAGCCTCCAGAACCAAATGGGTCCTAAGGAGCGGTCATGTCATTGAAAGGGAAATGACCGAAACATCAGACAAGACAGGCAAGGGCTCACCTCTTCCATGGAGACTGGAACCAGAAAGAAAGAGAGAGAATGTATTCTCTCACAGGCTTATATCATCCCGGGCCTGCAAGCCACGCCGTCCACATACGTAACAGGAGTGGGAGGTGCCTGGGGCACACACATGACAAGAAGGCACATATGTAATAAGGTGGGCAGGTCCTAGAGCTCAGATGGTGGCCTAACCTTGGTCCTCTCTGAGCTGGCTTGGCCTTAGGTGTCCCTGAGCTCTTCCCCAGGGGAGCGATCAGTGATCCTTATCAGAAGGGAGTGGGGCATACTTAGGGCGAGGGTAGGCTGATCCTCTGGATGGCAGACAACCTGCAGGCAGATAAGCTCTCAGCGTGTAGTATGGGCTTGCGAGCCGCACCTTAAAATTGGCACGACGATGGGGGAACGTTGTGGGGGAATAACGTTTAGTTAGGAGAATGAGACTGGGATTCCTCTCCAACTCACCTCCATGAAGGCCTTCCTCCCAGCCCCCTTCATTAGGAACTTAGAGAATTTGTCCTCAGACACTCTCTCCCCAGTTCTCCGTTTCCCGGTGCGCCATCCTCAGAGCCCCTTGTTGCAGCCACTGCCTGGACTTGGTCCATTCCACGTGCCGATTCTTAATGGAGGTTTGCAGCCGTTTCTGCCCGTGTGGGTCAGGCCTCATCAGTCAGTGACGGTCCAAAAGGCTTTCTTCCACGGGCTGTCCTCCAGCGGCGTCTTACGGTCAGCTCCACTCGGAGAAGGCGGCTTTTCAACCTCAGTCATGTTTCCAGTGCCTTCTGACCCGAGGGGGCCCAGGCCTCTTGGCACGTTTCTGGCAACGGTCGGCTTCTCTTGGTGAGGCCTTCGGGAGCTGACACTGTTTCGAATACAGGCATCAGGTTTTCCGAGGCCACTGCCCTCTGGAGTGGGCAGCCGACCCCTTCTTCGTTGTCTGTCCATCTGGAAGCTGGCTGAGGCCCCTGCACTGTGGGGGACGCTGCTGGCATTTTGAAATGCCGGTGACGTGGCTTCCAGCATCACAGCAACACGCAAGCCACCGCACCAGGACACACGGGCAGACGCGTGTGGTTTGGGTTCGTTGGCAAGCACGTAGCCGGCGGCATCACCCAAGGACGGTCTGGCTTGGCACAGAGCAGGAAGTAAGGCTGGGAGCCAGCTGTTCCCTTCCCCAGCACAGTTATCACAAAGGAGCCCACACTGGGTGGCCTCCAAGAGACCCTGACTGCCTGAAATCGGGGTGTCAGCAGGAGCCCGTTCTCCCCCAAAGGCCCTAGGGGAGGATTCTGACTTTGGGGGGGGTGATTTTGACTTTTAAAAACTTTCCAGGGTGCATTAGGTGAAGGCTTACGGAACAGAGCAGCATCTCCACCTTCAGCTGTCATACACATTCTGACCCGACTCATCCACTGCAGCACCCTCCCCACCCCCGCCCTGTGCTTCCTTCTCTCCCAGTGTTGCAGGTTCAAAGCCACTATCATGTCCCGACCCTTTAGAAAGAGTCTGAAAGCGACTGATTGCAGTCCCGAGCGGAGGGAACAGCCATCTTGTCTAGGCAAGAAGCCACTGATCAGACACTTTCCTATCGAGCGAGCAGGTTTGACAAAAGCAGCACGAATGGTTTCGTCCGTTGGAGTCTCCCTTTCCTCTATTTCATTTTATTTTCCTTTTGTCCCACTATCATGCTCAGCCTTCATTTGTATTTCCGTAATTCCTGTCCGATACATTGCCCTTGATCAAGCCCTACCAGGCCCCCTGCACCCTCCTCGCCACCAATTTTGGATCACATGTTGTTCCCTTGTCCCTGGGTTGGTTAACACCCACTTCCTTTCCCTGTAAATTCCTCTTTAGACCCACACAACCCATGCCGCCATGACGCCAAGTGTAGGAAGATCACAGGCCAGTGGGTAGAAAGTCTCGTGGATCCAGTGGCAGTGGAAGTGTCTCCACGCTGGTGCGGCTCTCCACATGTCTCCTCCAGCTCTCTGAGTGTCTCAACAGCAGGAAAGGGAAGGCAGAGAGCCGTGGGTCTGGTCTCCGGGGAGCTATTCATCTCTGTAGCGCCTCCAAATGAGGTCATCAAGCCGCAACCTGATTGACAGGCTAGACTCCACCCCTTTGCTCAAGTTGACAGGAGGTGATGTAACTGCCACATCTTTGCTGGATCTCTGGGTTCTCAAATCCATTGCAATGGCTACAGAGAACCCACAGACAAAAGTCACTATGGAAGGGGTTATTAGGGAAGTTAATCAGTTGTAATGTCAGCGAGGAATGCTCTGAACGGAGTTGTTGATCGGGACAAATGACAAAGTTCTTTCGGGTCTGCTAATAAACACCCCCTGGGGCACACCACTCCGATGGAAAGCCTCCACCCCAAGGCAGTCAGCTCAAGCCCAAATCCAGCTTCCCCAATGAAGTGCCCGGTGGCAGCCCACTCTGCAAGGCCTGCACAAAAGCACGCAGCTGTGCTTGCCTTCCTGGCTCGGGAAATCTATCAGTTTCAGCTCTGGTTGTGCTGCCGCTGCTACGCTGATGGTGTGTAGCTGTTTTCTGCACCCAGGAGGCTCCCTGCATGGGGATCTCGCGGTCCAGAGAGTGCACCCCAATCCTGGCTCTTGCTCGCAATGAGATCCCTCCCCCTGCTTCTCAGAGGGCTCATTTTATATGCAGCAGGGTGGTATTCAGGGACTCCTGTGTACAGTTATTTACAGGTGAAATCTTAGTGGTATCTTACCCCCCTCCACCTTCTGAATCATACAGGAAAGGGTTGTTTGGTAGGAGTTAAGAGATTTGGGCCAGAAGAGCCACACGAACTAATTCTCTACCCCTGCGCTATATCTCAAGAAGGAAATGTATATCCAGGAAGCAGCCCACACAGCCGCAGGGTGGGTAAGCCTAGTTCAACTCAAGTCCATGAGTTCGATGCTAGCTAGCTAGAGACTCTTCCCAAGTCACTGGGCTGCGGACCGATGAACCAGGAGAATCAAGCAGGAGGCAAGAGGCCGCAGGCCGGTGGAGATAGAGTCGAGTGGACCCATGGTGGCCCTTGGCCTAAGCCCCAGGAAGCCAGAAACAGGATGCAGGCCAGTAGGAAGAGGAAGAGAGCACACCTGGTCTCCTGAGCCACCCTTTAAATATATCCAATAGGCCACGCCCCCAATATGGCATCACCAACCTGTGGACTGGTGGAGAGGTTGGACTCCGCCCACGTCTCCCCAGAGAAGCAGCCAAGTTGACACAACGTTAACCCTCACACTACTCCCTCCATCTCTCAACGTTTGGGGGAAGTTTCTCATCCTCGGCCCTGGTGGCACTGTGGGTTTGGCACTGGGCTGCTAACTGCAAGGTCGGTGGCTCAAGCCCTCCAGCTGCTCGGCGGGAGAGAGATGAGGCTTTCTGCTCCATGGGGTGACAGTCTCAGAAACCCACAGGGGCGGTTCTACCCCGCCCTGTAGGGTTGTTATGAGTCAGCATCCACCTGATGGCAGTGGGGTGCTCCCGTTTAGCTGTGTCTCTGCGTTCCCTCCACCCCACCCCACCCCAGGCAGGCTCTGCCAGTGTGTCAGACACAGCGGCTTGAGAGAAGAATGGGCTTCTTCCTCCCGTCGAGGGACAGTGCTTCCTGGTCCTGTAGGGTCACAGAGTGGGAATGGACTCGGCGGGCAGTGAGTCTGGTTTAGGTTGGGCAGAGTTTCTGAGAATGCAAATCTTCCAGAATCTGGCTGGTGGGGTCAGTAGACAACCCACTGCAGCACAGGGACTCCTGATACCAGGCACAGCTGAACCCTCCCAGCCCTGCCCAGGGTCCCAGGGACCCCCCCCCCAAGGGACGTACTGCCACGAGCCTATTTCACAGAGGTGGAACCGGAGCCACAGGGAGACCCAGTCGCTTGCTCGGTTGTTCACGGCTGGTTAGGGGTTAGAGTGGGTGGGTGCAGGTCTGAGAGGAGAGGCTCTGAGCACCAGGCTGGGCATGAGCTGCCCTTCACACACAGACCCACCCCCCAACCCGCCCCCTCCCCCAGGAAGCTGGACGCCTTCATCTACGACGCGGCCGTGCTCAACTACATGGCCCGCAAGGACGAGGGCTGCAAGCTGGTGACCATAGGCTCGGGCAAGGTCTTCGCCACCACGGGCTACGGCATCGCGCTGCACAAGGGCTCCCGCTGGAAACGGCCCATCGACCTGGCGCTCCTGCAGTTCCTGGGCGACGGTGCGGTCCAGCGCGAGGGGT